TATGGAGGAGATATATGCCTGGGCAGAATTGCAAAGGATGTGTAATAGTTTGTCTAAAATATACATGGTAAAGGTAATCCCAAAATGAGAGGAAATAGTGCCTATAAATTCATTATAGGATCTGACATTGAAGCTTAATGATAGGTAGAAACTAGATATAAAATGCTTTTTATGTCCTTCTAAGAACTTTAAATACACCAATGGTATTTACCGCCATAGTTGATACTTTTAAAAACATTTTGTTAATTGATTTTATCTTTCCTGGAGCAACTATAAAAGGAGCCACTTATAGAGAAATAAAAAATTTAAGTCTCACCTCATACTGTAGAATAGGAAAATATCAGTGAAAACTTGTTTTATATAGAAATACTTTAATAATGCATAAATGTAGTAATTTTTGAAAAGCAGTAAAGATATTCATTTATAAGTAATTTAGTATATTTTGCTAAAATAGATAAAATAAATTCCTATAAAGTATTCATTCATTCATTTATCCACTCAACAAATATTTGAGTTTCTACAGTATGCTAAACTACTTGGTAGGTGGTGGTGGACAAAATAAAATCTATTTCCTAAAAACATGATAATTGAATATTCAATTCTTAGTCTGTTTAGTAATTATCTGTATCTTCTGTAGCTGTTCTTTTTTTAAATATATATATATTTTATTGATTTTTTTACAGAGAGGAAGAGAGAGGGATTGAGAGTTAGAAACATCAATGAGAGAGAATCATTGATCAGCTGCCTCTTGCACACCCCTTACAACCAAGGTACATGCCCTTGACCGGAATCGAACCCGGGACCTTTCAGTCCGCAGGCTGATGCTCTATCACTGAGTCAAACCAGTCAGACAAAATAAGCAACTCTTGATAAAATTTTTAGTGATAGAGGGTAGATCCTAGAAATTTAAGGAAGAGGTTTCAAAATAGTTTTGTTCATGTCAAGAATGATTCAGAAACACAAGTCCTTTTAATAGTAGCTTCATTTCCTCTTTCACCTATTCAGATTGTTCAGACCTAAAACTAGGAGTCATCTTTCAGCCCTTTCTCTTTTTCTTCTTTCCCACATTCAATCTATAACTAAGTTGGAGTTGTCGGCTCTAATGCTAAAAGAGTTTACTAAGCCCATCAGTGTACTTCTCCTCATGTAGCTATGAACCATGTCTAGAGTGAACCACTGCAGTAGCCTCCCACCAGGGTCTCCAGTGGTCTCCTGTCCATTCCATACTGTTCCTCTATGATTCATTCTCTGCACAGCAGTTCAATTGTTGCACTCCTACTTTGGAATCTTTCAATGGCTCCCTATCACTTTTGAAATAAAAATTAAACTTCTTACCAAAGTGCACTACATGATTTGGCCTCCACTTATCTCTTTGACTTCATACCACATCTCTCTTTCCTTTCTCACTATTTGAATCACATTGGATTTTATATTTAAATGCATGAAAATGAAAATGGTATCTTTGAAAAATAGGTATATTCTTCTAGAAATCAAAACTACATAATTTAATCATATAAATTGTTCAGGATTTGAGTATGAATTTCTGTGTAGTATATATGTGTTTACTTAAATTTATAAACACTTACATACATATGCTTTTAAAATATATATTATTATTGATTTCAAAGAGGGAGAGGGAGCTGGACAGAGATAGAAAGAAACGTCAGTGATGAGAGAATTATGCCTCCTGCATATCCTACACTGGGGATCCAACCCACAACCTAGTCATGTGCTTGATTGGGAATCAAACCATGACCTCCTGGTTCATAGGTCAACACTCAACCACTAAGCCATGCTGGCCAGGCTATATATACTTTTAACTTACATTGTAAATTAATTTATGGATGGGTAGAACTATGAAAACATAATTCTGTTAATATGTCTTTTTTAGTATCCATTATATGCAGATAGTAAAGTTTACTTTGTCAAAGACATATTTTTTAAAATGTGTATTTATTAATATTTGAAATATGAAAATATCTATCTTTTTAATGTCAAATTTAGTATTATACTAAACAACTCTACTTTTCTTTTTCCCCAGGATATTATTGCTGGATTCCTATATACCATTTTAATCTTAGCTATCTTCTATCCATTTGTGGACCTGATCGACAACTTCAACCAAACTCACAAATATGCTCCATTAATCATCATTGGGCTTCATTTAGCCTTGGGGATCTTTTCTTTCACTCTTGACACCTGGAGTACATCCCGAGGAGACACAGCTGAGATTCTAGGAAGTGGTGCTGGAATTGCATGTGGCTGTCATGTTACCTATAACATGGGTCTAATGTTAGACCCTCCTCTGGATACGTTACCTTTAGTTAGGCCCCCCATTACTGTGACTCTCTTTGGAAAAGCCATGTTGCGTATCCTTGTAGGGATGGTATTTGTACTACTAGCCAGAATAATAATGAAAAAGCTCACCATTCCCTTAGCCTGTAAAATCTTCAATATACCATGTGATGATGTTCGAAAAGCAAGACAGCACATGGAAGTTGAACTCCCTTATCGGTACATTACCTATGGAATGGTTGGTTTCTCTATCTCATTTGTGGCTCCTTACATATTTTCCTTTATTGGTATCTCTTGATGGAGAAATATTGTTTACGATAAGAAAGTATGTCAGTTACTGGTATCTAAAAATATATTCCAGTTAAAAGCCAAATCAGAGTTGGGCTTTTGCAGGAATTTAACTTAAATAATTCAGTAAATTCATGAGTTTGTGCATTTTACCATTGCACATCCAAATATTGTTTAGGTGAGCTGAGCTATTTCAACACTGAAAAAATGATTAGTATTCATTTAGACTGTTCATGTAATATTTGGAGAGTTTGTGTTGTTATAGATTCAAGATATAATATATATTAAGATGCATAATATACTATTATGCATCTAATATATATTATATCTAAAGTTATATAGCTACATTTTTAAACTGGGTGGTGTATTATAAAGTCAATAATAATATGCAAACAGTTGTGCCTGTGTATTTGTACTTAATCCAGGCATGTTCTTATTACAGATATATTTAATGTTTACTTACTATGGGAGCCATTTCCTAATTAATATGTAATTACTAGACCAGAATTCATATGTTTCCACATATTGATTTATGCCTCATTTTATACTGCCATCATGTTACCCATGATGTTGAACATGGGAGGCATTTTTATTGGACCAAATTTTCAGAAAAATTCATTTTTGGATTCATTTTCCCCCCCCCCCCACAGTTCTGTACTGTCTTGAATGTACTTTATTTGCAATTGTCCTGAACATCAGTTTAATAATTCAGGTACTGAATTTTATTGCTTGCTAATTGTGCCTTTCTGTTTGCCGTATAAGAAATGCCATGTTTACTGTGATATAAACATAAGATGCTAACTTAATCTTAACTTACATGTAATCAGGCAAATATTTTTAAAATATGTCAAGCTAACAGGGCTAGAAGTAAAACACCCTCAATTCTTTAGCCTTTGTTTAGAAAGAAATGTGGAAGGGGCTAAATCTTCTCACTAATTTATTGGGAAACTAAATGGACAAATATTTCCATTTTTGTAAGTATTTTTTTGTGCACTGTAAGTTATAGAAAGATATATTTTTTTGTACATTGTCTTGATTGTTTATACTACAGGTAGATGTTTCCAGTTAATGGAAAGGTAATTGAAATTTATAGATGGGACAATGCACAAGCTTCAGATATAAACAAACCATTTTTCTAAATTATTTGGAGAGGATTGGGTATAGCAGTTACCTTTTAATACTGACTTATTAGTTACTTAAGATAAATTATAAAATCAAAAAGTATCAGTATTTAGATCCTTTTTCCCCCCAAATTTTCAGAGGAAAATTTGGTATAGTATTAAACTATTCTTTATTCTGTCTGTGCCTTTATATTTTTGAAGTGTAATTATAATTAGGTTAACATTATGTTTATTTGTTGTAAGTTTTTCATAAAAAAGAGAATTAACTTTCCATAAATGAGCATCAGGTATGGAATTACTTTAGTGCAATATCTGTCTGATTATCCAGAAGTATCCTTTAAGATGTTTCTATTTTGGGCTGCTTAACTATTAAAGCTCATATTTTTATAATTCTGATTGAGAATTTAGAGACATGGTAATTTTTACCAATACTGAATCTGATCATTTTAAATAAAGCAACCAAATTGGGGACCTTTATCTATTAATAGGAAACCAATGCACTTGGGAACATATTGGTATGATGGAAAATATGCAAAGAATTTTCTTTCAAAATGTGTTTAATGAATCAAATTTTAGGGACTATTTCCTATAATTTGGGCCCATGCTATCTTATTAATTTTTATATCTAGCTTTAAAGGTATTTGAAAATATTCCATTTCTTTGTGTTTTATTATTTTATGTTCTTGCTAGTTCCATGCTAAATATATTTAAAAATAAAAGCCAAATTCAGGTTGCAGGGTGTTTTGTTTTATTTGCTTTCTATGCAGTTGTCTTGGTATTATCTGGTAGAAATTTATAAATTTTTAGAGTTTTCAATTCTAGTAGGCTCTCCCGCTGAAGCATTTTATTTAAAATCAGCATACTATTTTCAGTAATACAAGACTTTGAAGTAATTCTTTAAAGTTGAAGTTGACTTTGGGCTCCATTTATGATCATTTTGACATTGAACTTTTATTTTTTTAATTTTTTTAATTTTTATTTTTTTGCAGATGAACCAAGCACTTTCTTTAATTATAACAAGTATACACTCATTCGCTGCTTAAAACATTCAGGTCTTTGCCAAAAATGCTTCCTTTGTGGCTTCCAGAACATTTTTTTTTATCACATTTCCCACTCTACCCTAGAGCTGCTGACTTGGAAATCCTGTGCACTGCAGGAAGCTCCAGGAGACTTCACCCGTCATGGGTTTCTTGATCCCTTGTTTCCATCACCATTGAAACAATTAGTTCAACTTAGCAGAAACATTGAGAAACATCTTTATGAAAACCCAGCACCCTCCAGGGTTTTAGAAGTGAAGAATGTTACTTGTGCAAGAATCTGATACCAATTAAATGGTAACAGCTTTGCCAATAAATAAGAAAATGCTCTTCCATGACTAGGAAAGGAGACTGCCACAGTGATGACATTGAACTTTTAATAAAAAGTTTCATAATATTTCTTTGAAAAACTTACGTATAAATCATGTTTCAGTTAAATCTGTGGCTAACAGTATTATACCTTATTTCCCCCAAAATAAGACAGTGTCTTATATTAATTTTTGCTCCCAAAGATGCGCTAGGTCTTATTTTCAGGGGATGTCTTATTTTTCCATGAAGAAGAATACGGTACACATTTATTGTTAAATGAAAATAAAGGAAATTTATTAGCCTGTATACGGTACAGTAGTACAGTAGTTATCAACACAAACCAGACAAACTGTGAATCCTACAGTATCAAGAATTTATTCATTTATTCAATGACAATCATGTCATAATCTTCTGGAACATCATCATAACAATTCAATTCTGGTGAATTTCTTGTGACTCTATTTCTTTCAGAATCAGTGAACCAAATCTCTCATGTTTAGCCTAGGGGGGCCTTATTTTCAGGGGATGCCTTATATTTCACTCAGAAGGAAACCTGTAAGTAGGTCTTATTTTCGGAGGATGTCTTATTTTCGGGGAAACACGGTAGTTATTTGACTGTTAATTCATTAATTCAGTAATTAATCATACTAGGTACAACTACTTTTTCAAGCAGAATAAACATATGGATAGCCCCCTTTTTTTTATCCACCCACCACAACTCATGGATATTTCATTTTGTCATTTAAAAATGCCATTATGTGTGAATTGCAAAAACTAGGTCTTCCAGAAACTAATATAAAGCAATGCTATCACAGACTTATAAAATTACTTACTAGTTTTCTTTACAAGTAATTTTTAATAACATTTCTTTCAAAGACAGTGTAAAAATGAATTCAATGATCTGAATATAATTTAAAGGCAAATTTTCTAAGAAATTTGATAAAGATAAATATATAAATACTAAAATGCTTTTATTTTCAATATAATCACAATTTATACAGCAAAGATTTTTTTTTTTATTGCCAAAGCAATTTCATTCTTTTTAACAAAGAATGTTTAGCTTTAAAAACAAAACTATTTATTCAGGATATCAATAGGTCCAATTTTTAAAATTGGGCTTTATAGTTGAATTCGTTTTTCTGAAGAGAGCTCTTGTCTGCTGAGGAGATATTTTGAGAAAGGGAAGAGAGAACAGTTTGAGAAACAGTAATGAAAAAGCCATGGCCTGTGTGGCTCCATTACTTGGGTGGGTTGGAGCCTCATCCCATACACCTTCTGTAGACCAAAAGGTGGGTGGTTTGACTCCCCTGACTGACTGATTTCCCCTAACCATCACCTGCCTGCCTGATCACCCCTAACTGTTCTGCCTGCCTGCCTGATCGCCCCTAACCACCTCTGCCTTGGCTCCCGCTGGGGGGCTTTGTCCGGAATGACATCCAGAAGATCATTTGGCTGTCCAGTCTAATTAGCATATTATGCTTATATAATTATAGATTCCTCTTTAGATCTGAGGTTTACCCTCTGTCCAAAATTAGAAGTTCTCAAAACCAAGATCCGCCCAAACCGGTTTGGCTCAGTGGATAGAGCGTCAGCCTGCAGACTGAGGGGTCCCAGGTTCAATTACGGTCGGGGGCATATACCTCGGTTGCGGGCGCATCCCGAGTGGGGGTGTGCAGGAGACAGCCGATTGATGTTTCTCTCTCATTGTTGTCTCTGACTCTCTGTTCCTCTCCCTTCCTCCCTGTAAAGAAATCAATAAAATATATGGGAAAAAATCCATTATAGCATATATTATCACCTGTCATTGTCTTAATGTATTTTTAAAATTTTTGTCTTCATTTCTATAGTGTAAGCTCCAGGAGGAAAAATAGCTTGTGCCTCTATTCTGGACCCCTGGGAGAGAGTAGGCATTCAACTAATATATGTAGAATGAATACTCATGGTACCCAGACTAGTGGTCGGCAAACTGCAGCTCGCAAGCCACATGCAGCTCTTTGGCCCCCTGAGTGTGGCCCTTCCACAAAATACCATGCAGGTGCGCAAGTACAGTGCAATTGAAACTTCGTGGCCCATGCACAGAAGTTGGTTTTTGGCTCTCAAAAGAAATTTCAACCGTTGTACTGTTGATATTTGGCTGTGTTGACTAATGAGTTTGCCGACCACTGACCTAGACAGGCTTCAGCATGTGCAGCTTTCTGGGGAAAATTCTACACCACTCAGAGGCTCAAAGATAGTGATCTAAAAAAATAAAGTTATGCAATAGTCTTCCTCTTCTTGTTTTAAAAGTTATCTGGTAAGAATTTTGCCACTTTTTATGCAAATATTTAAAGGATAATAATTTAGATTCTTGAAATGTTTTTGCATGTAATTACAACTCCCTCTTGTATAGAATGTGATTTTTATCCAAATTAGTTTTAAAATAATTTCTTTAGAATTAAAACAAAATCTGAAAAGAAAATATTCCATGTATATATAGGGATATAACTTGTTTTTAATAATAAGCTATATAAATGTGTTCAGGAGAATATTACTTTGTACAATTTATAACCTGTGATTTTTATATTTAAAATGTTGTTAATAATTAAAATGTAGACAAGATATATTAAGGTTTTAAGGATCAATTTTTTTACTTAACATTTAAAGGCTCCCTTGAGGTCTCCAGGCCTACAGTTGTTTTAATTGAGACATATTGACATATAACTTTATATTCATTTTAGATTTCAACTTGATTTGATATTTGTATATATTGTTATATGATCACTCCAATAAGTCTAGTTAACATCTGTCCCCATAATCTGAAACTATCCCCAGTATATGGAGGGCAGGGAGAGACCAAAGAAGGGCAGGCCACCCCAGATTTGGAGGCAGCCGAGGGCTGAGTACATCGATGTACCTGTCTCCAAATCTTAGACATTTATATCGAGGCCCCTAACTGAGGTGGTTATGTATACCATCCACAGGGTTTCAGTGGTACCTTATTCTCTCAAGGTTGAAGGTATCTTGGGGCAGCTGCTGGGAACAGGGAAGATAAGAAGAATACACATTCTAAAAAAAGGAGGAGGTAGGGAGCCTCCAACGGCCTAGGTCCAGCTTTTTGGTCATAGAGCGGTTATGTCTTAAGACATCCAACACCACCTTCCAAAACCTCTCTAGAGCATTGTACAGCATTCTGATGACATACCCAGAAATGTGCTAGCACACCGTGAGGAAATGTGTCTTAAGGATAAGACTAGCTACAGGGAGCCTTTGTGTTCTACACAGAGGACTGCCTCCCAGAGGACTTGGTGATTTCCAGGCATGCTCTAGGGATACTGTTGGTGTTCTTCAACTTAATATTTATCCCACCATACTTGAGACAATGAGACTTTATCTGTGGATGGGACATAAGAGCCTTCACATATCTGACTAAACCCAACTGCTTGGAACATGAAGATTGTAGGATGAGTGTAGGAAGAGTGTTTGCTAGTAAAATCACAGAGACACCATCAATATATTCCATATGTGTGAGGTAATCTACAATACACCAATGACCACCTAAATTTTTCTGGTTCAACATTATTGTTCCAGAAGGGTCTTTGCTTCCTTATTCGACGTGTGTGTGTGTGTGTGTGTGTGTGTGTGTGTGTGTGTGTGTGTCTATTATCTATTTAAAAGAGATAATGACCATATTGTCTTAAATTTATAATTAATTACCAGCTCTCAAACATATTACTAGCCATTGCAGATCTGCAACTATAGTCATTCCATTCACCTGCAACTTGCATTTCTAAGACATCTCTGGTGATTTTTCATGGAACAGTTTCATAAGTCTTTGGGAACTTGAATGTGATCCATTGCCATAAGTTACATATTACCTTTGCCCTTGAAAGTCTATAAGAACCTGGTTAAGATGTTGGGCTTACAAGCCATGGTTTCTCTGAAATCCTGACCCTGCTGCTTGTTATTTCTCTTGAAAATTTTTGTGTATGAATTCCATTCTGTGTGAAGATGGCGGTGCCAAACTGGCATTGACTTTCATATTCCCATTCTGTCTGTTTTCTCCAAGAAATTCAATGACAAAACAGGTATGTTGGATAAAAGAAATAGTCTCAAGTAAGTATGTTAAGGATGAAGAAGTCTGAAGATCAGGATTTTTGTTTTGACTTTGCAATTTGCTGGATTTTATTTTAAATGAACAAACATTTTTATTGATTTTAGAGGAAGGGAGGGGGAAAGATAGGAACATCAATGAGAGAGAATCGCTGATTGGCCGCCTCCTGCACAACCCACACTGGGGACAAGCACACAACCTGGCATGTGCCCTGACCAGGAATTGAACCCTGACCTCCTAGTTCATAGTTGACACTCAGCCATGGAGCCACACTGGCCAGGCTCATTTGCTGGACTTCTGGCACTAGCTCCATCTTCTTTGAGACAGGTTCCTCATATATAAAATGGAGAGGTTTGAGTTGATATTCTCTAAAATTTAATGAACTGTACTAGATCAAGTGTGCAAAAACGAAGGGAATATTTCTATTGTAATTAGGAAACTAAAATTTATCAAAAAAGGAAATTTTAATCCACTTGTATTGAGGGAGCATTTCTTGCTCTGTCTGTGAAAATTTAGTATGCACCCCTCTAAGAAAGTTACAGTTATTTCTGAAGAGAAGCAGAGTTCATTGCTTTAGAAGAGTCATAACAGGAGGTTACAAGGCTTTGTCATAACTTTTGTTTGAATTACAAGGTTTAAAGTCACCACGAGGTGTTAACTAATCCAACCTATTAAAATCACCCTACACAGATAGTACTTTGTTTAAAAACAAACAGAAGAATAAGGAAAATATAAAAGACTTCAGTAATGTTATAATTCATTCAACAAATCATGCTAGCAATGGAAATGGATATATAAATGAGAAAAAAATCTTAGGGAATTTCATTCGAAACTAAGAGACAAAAAAAAAATGCTGAGTATAAAACAGTTTCTCTCCCTCTCTGAAATCAATAAAAGTATATTTTTATATAAAGATGGACAATAAAAGTGTTAGTATATAGAGAAATTGGAACTCATAAGTTGTGGGTGGGAATGTAAAATGGTGC